GCTCCACGGCCAGCCCTCTATATGAATGTTGACCATGTCAGTCTCCCACTATCCAAGGTCTAAAACCCTTGCTTAGAATGTGACGCATTCCGAATGATTGGGTTCACAGGCGTACTCCACTTACTGCACTGTAATGCACTGGAATTTCGTTTAGGTGTATTTTTTGTCATTATCATGTCAGGCTTGAAATCCCAGTTCCTCAAACTATATTTAACAATGTTATTCCCATTCATAGTAAAGCCATTCATTCATCTGCTTGGCACAACCCTCATATGACGACCTGTGATGGCATGGCTATGTCACAAATCTGACTAAGGAGGCATCGAAGAAGCTTGGTTTACTTTTCGGTGGCAATGGTCTTCATCTTTAACTCCGAACACGTATCACTGCTAGACGTTCGGCAAAGTAGGAATTCCTGTTGTGATATCTGGGGTGGAGGACCCAGTTCCTACCTCACTACCGACGTTCATCATCATCTCTGTGGCCTCTCTATTTCTCATAAAAGGGCCAGTGCCCAAAAACGTTACCTATTATATATATTCTTTCTCTTTGGTTATTTCGGTAAAGTCACGTAGAAAGAAAACATAAATTAAATAATAGCATACGACGTTTCGATTGCAACACAAGCAATCATAATCAGGCACAAATGAAAGAGAAAACCCAGCAAACCCAGAAATATAATGCAACACAACACAAGACAGTCTCTTTCATTTGTGCCTGATGATGATTGCTCGTGTTGCAATCGAAACGTCGTATGTTATAACTTGATAGAGTTTTTCTTTCTACGTGACTTTACCAAAAGAACCAAAGACTAATTCCTGCAGTCACGAAAGCTCCAAATCAGGTTATATTCTTCCTCCTAAGGCAGTTTCATTGAAGAGTGTTCAGTTGTTTGCTTTTTTGTGTGTGCCGTGACCCACTGCCAACTCTGTATCGCCAAGTGATGTTCATTGTTCATTGATTGATGACCCGGTCACTCCACCGATTCACTCCAGCCACTCGTTCACCAGCGGTCCCCGGCAACCTTCTTGTCGCTTCTAGATTTGAAGCTTTCGTGACTGCAAGGATTTACTCTTAGTTCTTTCGGTAAAGTCACGTAGGTAAAAAATGAAATTAATAAAAAATAAAACAATAAAAATCACGACGTTTCGGAGGCAACACAAGTCTCCGTCGTCAGGTGGGACCGTCACAGCCAGATTAGCTGCATCAAGTGAGGCAAGGATTCAAGATGTAATCCCTTAAAAGCAAGTTTAGGGGGGAGGAGATGGGGGGGGGAGCTCATCAGAATGTGGTAGGCAATGAATGGAATGTATCGCTACTTTCAATGGTTATATTCTGTTCCCGTGAACCTTCACGGCATCAATTCCTCCCAGCCACGTTGAGGATTCGCTCTGCCAGACTGTTTCATCCCCATCTGCACTTTCCACCACCACACACAACACTGTAAGGTCACTCACGCGTCTCTTTCTGGCACTTTGCTCGCACTAAACTCGCTTTGAAATTCACCACCCACGGTCGATGTACCGGCACTCTGATAATAAATAACCTGTCCACCTCAAGATGCGTGTGAACTCTGCTCTATTACCATCACTTTGATGCCACCGTTTGTTTCTAGCCGTCCGTTTGACGATTCGGGAATGTGCTTAGTAACTTCCGTGTTTATATAGTGTTTCTTTAGCCTACATTAAGCTCTGAAGAGCGCAGTTGAACTACTGGAAAAGTTACCGTACTTGCCTCTTCTTAATAAATAATACAAACGAGGTATTAAACATCAAACCACCTCCTTGCCTATGCAGAATGATCGAATGAGACCGCGTGTTATCAAACTCTGTCACAAAGATCTCCAATTATTTCGTCTTTGGCGGACTGTCGGGGCAAGGGCTGTTTGGCCGGCACCACGCCCGGCCGCCTTTGTCTCCCTTCACAGCAATGTTTACACATCGCACCAGGTGCATTGCTCATTTAAGGCCGAGTCTACCTCGGGGAGGCACAGGACCTGTTTAGATATTCGTCACTGATGTTGACCGTGAACGGGAATCAAACAGAGTAACCTGGCACGCACCAAAACGCTGATGCAGCCACAGTTTAAGTAACTCAAATAAACTCCATAATACAAGTTTTTTTTTGGGTTAGATCGGGTAAATATGTAAATGTGTCGTTAAACCCGCCACCATCCGACACAGCCAACTAGTAAGGGTTGTCACGTAAACAGAACGTGGCCAATTCGTCACTAGTACAGCACTAGTGTGTAGTGTATAGTGTAGTGTATAGTGTAGTGTATAGTCGTGTCGTGTATTGTATTGTGTATAGTAGTATAGTTTATAGTGTAGTGTATAGTGTAGTGTATAGTCGTGTAGTGTATTGTATTGTGTATAGTAGTATAGTTTATAGTGTAGTATACTAGTACAGCACTAACCGGTGTGTTGGAGAGCCAAGCCACAACATTTACAATCAGAGTACGACGTTTCGCCAGTAATTACAACCAGCTTCATCAGGCGACAGCCAGATTTGTGGAGACGTCCACCCGTTTCTGTTCTGTTTACGTGACAACCCTTATAATTGGCTGTGTCGGGTGGTGGTGGGTTTAACGACACATTATTATATTTACACGATCTAACCCAAAAAAACCTGTATTATGGATGATATTATTCGAAGACCTACGTGTTAAACTCAAATAAACTCATCTTATCATCCGTTACCCGGCACTTCTATTTATCAATCCCAATTATCCGCTTATAAGTGGAGTAAAATATCGGATAATAAGCATCTGAGATGACGAATCTCCACCCAACAGGTCACCACGGATAGATTAATAAACTTTAATTTCTATAGAACTGCGTTTTGAGTCCAGTTTGTTGTCCTTACCCCACCGCACATCCGATTAGCACGGTTGGCTACGTACGGTGCGAAAGAAGTCCAACATAAATACAATTACACAAGAGGGGGGTGTTTTCTGTTGTTATTTTACTTTTTCGTTTCATTTAGTTGGCATAGCCCTGTGAGCCATTCGGCTCTTGAATCGAGTGCAATCGCAACAACAAAAAACATGAAATATGAAGCAAGAAAACATCTTAAAGTGACTATGTGACTATGTGCAAACAGAAAATCCAGGAAAAGACAGCGAAATATTCCACGAAAAGCACCGTACACCAACTTGACTCGGGACCCCGTCTTTATTAACGAACGAATGGGTCCAAATTACGTGAAACTATTCAAGATTACAAGTCGGAATGGGTGGTGGTGGTGGTGGTTTTTGGCCACCAGGGGAACAAGACAATCCCCCAGGAAGTTTGACAACAAAGAAAGAAACAGGACGTTTATCTCGCGACATTAATCAATTAATTACGTTCCACAAAACGTACACACGCACAGATTTAAAACAACAACACAACAACAACAAGAACACCACCAACACGGACTTACACGTGAAGGAAGCCCTTCAAGAGACTTACTTGGGCGACAAAGACCATGGGACAAAGTGCTGTGAATGAGCGCATTCTTAACCGGGGGCCGTCACTGAACACGATGTCTGTGGCCATCGCCGCTCGCAGCCGCCTTTGTCTCTCCCCCCAGTGCTGATATCGTACCCAATCTCAAAAGAAAAGTTCAGCAATTATAAGGCGAAGTTAAAGCTAAGATCGGGTTGTTGGTCGTGGCCGGGAATGGAACCTGTGTGGCGGCTGTCTTAGCGGCGCTCTGTGTACACAGAATGCGACATTTCAGCAACAACAACAACCAACAAACAAGGCGAGTTGAGTGCCCTGTTAGTTACGAATCGCTTCAACACCGAGGACAACGCAAATCTGTCGCACAGACTTCAGTAACATGGCACATGAGGTCTGAATGTATTGACCACAAAGTTTATTTTGCCTACATTAAGCTCTGAAGAACGCAGTTGAATTACTGGAAAGGTTACCGTACTTGCCTCTTCTTAATAAATAATACAAACGAGGTATTCAACCTCAAACCACCTCCTTGCCTATGTAGATTGATCAAATGAGACCGCGTGTTATCAAACTCTTGTCACAAAGATACCCGGTTTAGAGAACTCCACCGTGCGCTGCAAACACAAACGCCACTTCGGACAACCACGACGTTACAGACCAACAAAACAATAGTTACCGTACGCCAACCCTTGACCAAAATACACTTAAGAACACCACGAAGTGTACACACGAAGTGTACACACAAAGATACCCCCCGTCCACACCACGATCTTGTGAGCCAACGTTACAAAAAGTTCTCACTCCATCTCTCTCTCCACTCACCTTCAACTGAGACTTGGACACCTTGTCATCTTGTGAGCCATTGTTACAAACAGTTCTCACTCCATCTCTCTCTCTCCATCTCTCTCCACTCACCTTCAGCTGAGACTTGGACACCTTGTCATCTTGTGAGCCATTGTTACAAAACGTTCTCACTCCATCTCTCTCTCTCCATCTCTCTCCACTCACCTTCAGCTGAGGCTTGGACACCTTGTCATCTTGTGAGCCATTGTTACAAAAAGTTCTCACTCCATCTCTCTCTCTCCATCTCTCTCCACTCACCTTCAGCTGAGGCTTGGACACCTTGTCATCTTGTGAGCCATTGTTACAAAAAGTTCTCACTCCATCTCTCTCTCTCCATCTCTCTCCACTCACCTTCAGCTGAGGCTTGGACACCTTGTCATCTTGTGAGCCATTGTTACAAAAAGTTCTCACTCCATCTCTCTCTCTCCATCTCTCTCCACTCACCTTCAGCTGAGGCTTGGACACCTTGTCATCTTGTGAGCCATTGTTACAAAAAGTTCTCACTCCATCTCTCTCTCCATCTCTCTCCACTCACCTTCAGCTGAGACTTGGACACCTTGTCATCTTGTGAGCCATTGTTACAAAAAGTTCTCACTCCGTGTCCCTCTCCTCCCTCCACTCACCTTCAGCTGAGACTTGGACACCTTGTCATCTTGTGAGCCATTGTTATAAAAAGTTCTCACTCCGTGTCCCTCTCCTCCCTCCACTCACCTTCAGCTGAGACTTGGACACCTTGCCACTCTTCTCGGTGTCCAGGGCAGTGAAGGCATGCCACACGGATTTGAGCAGCTCGCTTCTCAACGCCATGCTTCGAGTTAGTGAGACGGGGTTTTTTAATTGTTATGAATTCCCCACTTGTCCCCCACCCTCCGCTTCCAACTCTCCTCCACCACGACTTGGCACTGTGTGGAGTGTGTGGCTGGATCAGTGGCTGGGCTTGTTTCCTTCACGTTCTGTCGCCCTGCCTCTCGCTCATTCGCGTGTATCCGCCTCCTCCCCCTCCCCTCTCCACGGACCACGCTGTACGGCTGTAGCCACACGTGGCTCGGCGACTTTGTCACAGCTGCTTGACGCCAGGAGATGGGAGGAGGAGGAGGTGGAGCAGGGATAACTTCAGCTACGCCCACCACCACCACCCCCACCATCCCCTAAACAACTCATACATTTATTAACGAGTTTATGACATCGCTGGAGCGCGACCTGGTTTTAGAAAAATATAAACGCCTAAGGGGGCTGGCACGAGACAATGTTCAACTTTAAACAACGATGCAGTGCCGGATTATCCTCGAAGCAAAAATAGCATATGCTACGGGCACCGCACTTTTTACGCTATCAATTCTGGTTCAGTTATTCTGCACTTGCTCTATTACTATAGTACTATACTGCCTTCAACTTTGACAAACGACTGAGTGTTTAAAATTAGCGATTTGTCGTATTATCTGGCGGCTGTATAGGAAATGAAAAAATACAATTACTTTACTGTGCAAGTAAAAAATTTACGTTTTAATTTGTTTTAATTTAGGGCCCCTTTATAACATATCCTACAGGCCACCGCACGAGCTTAATCCGGCAATGCAACGATGGTGTTGTCCATCACGCATTCTGCTCACGCTGTATTCGAAAGCTGCGATGTCCATTGCTTAATTGTACTATTCTTCGCATATTATTTTGTTAGTTTACTAAACACGAACCGGTTTGTGATATTCTTCAAAAACTTGCTGAGCTCCCATCATTAATGCCGTATGCGGTCATACGTTTTAAATTCATGTCCATGGAAATCACTTGAAATGTTTAAGGTTGCATTGAGGAAATTCATGTAGAGTGCCTAAAAGTTTCATTTTGAATGTCCAAAGAAATTAATAGCCAAGTAGACTAAAATAGTCTGTATTTGTCAGTACAGCTAGAATATTTTGTAGCAAAAAAAAACCCCGTAAAATTACACAATCGACCACGTCAACTTAAGTGACCGATTTTTTTTTACTACTATACTGCATACCGACATTGAAAGCTTTAAAAAAAAGTGTAAAAAATTTATGGACATAATTTTAGCAGAATTTTTCTTTTACACATTAGGCCTGCCAAGTAACTGTATAGTAATAGAACATTCTAAAGCATTTTGGAATATTTATATACTGTACTTAGCAGTAAACTATTTAATGGAGTTATAACTGCATTTGGGCAGGGCATTAAAAGCTTGTATTTTTATATTACATCCTTTACTTCCGTTTATTATATCCCAATGTATTTTTGCATAGTTGGTTTTGAAATTATTCTAGAACGGCACTAATTTGTCGGGGCATGCACCAACCGACCTTTTCTTTTTATAGAAAACATTTATTTGGTGATGCTGCGTTGGCAGTGATGCACAAGCATAATGTACTAAAAAGGCACATTTCTTAATAACTGCCCCAAGAGAAAAAAAAACATCGGTTACTTTACAGGCAATGACGCTCCTAAGAATATTCTTTATTTTAAAAAAAAGTTGACAATATGGCATTTTGTCACGTCGGATTCAAAGAAAACAAAATAAGTTCACAAACTTGCATCAACTGCCAAAGTTGGATAGTTAAAATTTAATTATCAATGCTTACATTTTATGAGTAATGTTCATAGACACATTTGCACACTTGATATTTTCATTTTATTGGCAAGGCATTGTACAAAATAAACCCTTAGCAAACAGCATTTTACCAAAAAATTAATAATCATTCAAGGAAAAAATGCAAATTCGGGATATTCACAGTGACACTCGAGTCTGTGACTTGACTAAATAAACTAATGCTATACTGGTATAGGATACCATTTGGTAAAATTAGCATTTTTCCTGGCAAAACCAAACATTTCTCAACGAAAAATGATGGCAAATGTTGTCCTTTAAGCTTTTTCATCCGCACAGCGATTTAGTCTGAAAACTACCCACAAAAAGGATATTTATAGCAAATATAACCCCATGAGCTGCATAACGATAGCTGCTGAAACAGCCTAATTCTTGTGCTAACGCCATCTTCAGGTCATGTAGGTAATATACATGGTGTCACCCTGAGGTTGTTCTTTTAAATGTATTAAACAAGTCCATGAACAAAGCTATATGGTAGCATGTTGTGAAAACTTTAAGTCATCGCGACATGGGAATAATAGAGCATCCGTCACTTTATTATAGACATTTCTTATGTAGCAGCCACATCAATCGCATGAGTGATTGGGAAGTACCAGTGTTCCTTTTCACTGCTTTAAAATCCCATTTTACACATATTTAAAAATCCAACATCTTATATCTGCACCGATATTCCAGATGTCCAAATAACTTCCTTCTTCCCGTGGAACTAGAATATTGCAGACCAGTCTTAACTTTCGTGCAATTCACAACCAACAACAGATTCCTTCTGTCTTCTTTTTTTAAGCTGGGACAACCGCTGTCCACCATCTGGCTCATGGCTTCTCATAACACTTCTAGTCAAATTAATTCTGCAGGCATAGGCATTTCATCACTTCCCGTGCAGTCCTCAGGACTGGGAATCTTCAAGCTAAAAAAGAGAAAAGTGCAAAAAGAGAGAATTACATTAATGTGGTTGTGGACTCCATTTGGCATTTACATTCATATATGCTTAATTTGCTTAAATTTGAAAGATCGGTAGGTGCAGGATGTATCATCTTTGGGCACCTGCACGGCAATCTGTGTGCCATTAGTTGTTGCAACAAGGCGGACGGAAGGCAGGCCATCTCTGATGACAATCTTGTCCACATTATTGGAGGTCATGCTCGTTATCGATGCGTCTAACAATCCCTCCGTCACAATTGTTACCTACAATAGAAAACAAAAACATGTCTTCATTGTGCTCTCATTTTTAACCTTCATCACAAACATTAACAAAATGTTTCTATATTGATATTTGGCATTATGTGCATAAACTGTACATTTTAACAAGTATGTTATAATGGTAATAAATACTTTTTTTAACAAAAAAATATATATATACGTTTAAGTATACTACACATGGCTTGCCATGTAAGAATATAACGTATTTTTTGTAAATTGACTCTTGTATTGTTGCTTTACTATATTCTGTACACGGATCTCATTGATGTTGTTACATCCTCGCTGTAACAAAACTCTCATACACATCAGTCTGCCATTACCTGTTGCGACTCAGAGCCTTCAGAGACCATGGTGACAGCATCCGTCATGCTAGTGCTGTGTGATGGCATAGTGATAGTGGTCCCATCCTGCGTTACCATTGCAATAGCAGTTCCCAAAGCCTGTAGGTCAGCCTGTGAAAGGTTTACCTGCAAGGAGGGATGTACACAAATACTCAAACTTATGGTGTTACTACAACAGTAGTATTACATTGCCAAAAAGTTTATTCCTCTTTAAGGGTTTGTGTTTATTGGAAGCCCTCTTACTAAACTTCCATACAACATGCCCATGACCATCCTTACATTTTATATAATCACTAGGAACCCACACGTCCTTGGGACTGTCCGGCTGTCCCTCCCAGCAGCCTTTTTTTTCATTTAAAGCCCCATCTCTCTTGACCTTTCTCTTGCCTTCTCTGTACTGTGTATCCCAAATTATCTTGATGTATTGCTTTGTCTCTATTTCTATCCGTTTCTCTATTCCTCTGTCCCCTCTTCTACCTCCATTGTATCTCACCCACTTCTCTGCCCCCTTTCCCTGTTTTATCTCTCACTGATCACCCTCACTTTACCAATTCCCACCTCTTCCTTTTCCCGTCTCAACCAATCTTGCCTGTCCATCTAATCCTCCCACCCATTGCTTGTCACTTACCCTCACTCTCTTCTTTCCGTTTTGCTCTCTCTTTCTTCTCCGTTAAGCACTTTCACTCTCTCCCTGCCGTTCTCCTCTCCGTTCCTCTCTGTCTCGTCCTCTCTTCTCTACCTCCCTCACCTATCTCCTCTATTTCATTTACATGAGATACACATCCGGGGTGGAGGGTAGGTGGATGCAGGCATGACGTCAGCAACCATGAACCGTGGCTCAGTGGTGTGGGATGCTGGTGACGTCATCCCGCAGATGTGCGTGATGACATCGCTACTGCGAATGACCACTTGTGCACAAGTCAGCCAGCCAGGCAGCCAGGAAACCAACGAGAAAAACTTTTTTCAAACAATATAACATATGATTGCAAGGCTTTCCAAAACTTCAGTCCTTGCGACCCATGAAAGTACATCTCTTACAACATTTTCTCCATCAAACTACAAATAATACATTACATGCTGCACACGTCTGCTGATTGCTAACCTTGACATAGTTAACGCTAATTTAAATAGTCTAAATTGGAATCAGCACATGATAATACATTTCCAGTGGTGTACATCATGTTACAACAATTTATCTTTTCATGGAGATGACACTTAAAGCAGGAAAGGGCTGACCGTGATGGGTATTGAAGCTTGCAATTTGGGAAACGCTGGTATATACCCAAGGTGAGCAATAACATAAAAGCACCATATTGGCAGTGTACAATTACAGACCTGCTGTGTTCCATCTTGTGTAATGAGTGCCACTTGTGGGGTGAGGCCATCGTGCGTCACCACAGCAACTTGGGCAGTGATCCCATCCTCCCCTTCCACACCGGTCAAGTAAGCAATTCTCTGTCGTTTGCTCGGAACATCCCCACCTAGTGCATGCAGCAAGCACCACAGGTCGGCCTCATCAATAACCTTCACCCATTAGCAAGCACATTATGAAGAAATACATTTTCCACGTGTAGGCTGGATGTTTGTGTCGGCAGATCAAGGAAACGCGTTTCTTGAAATAGACCTGGGACACATCTTCACGAAAATGTTGTCTTTAACGAATCAGGAGATAGATGGGGCCACTGCTGTGAAAAGTTTCCTAACAATGTTTCCCGACACGTTAACTTGTATATCCTCGGATTTAGACAATTGCACACACATTCACAACATACATATTTTTCTTTAAACTTTTGGCTAAAAAGGTCAGCATTACATCAGACACATGAGTTAAGTATACAAATGTTGTACTGGACTTCTATGACCACTCATTTGTGCTCCCTCACAAAACTGCACTGACCAGACCAACGTGAAGCATAGTCAACCTTCAATGCACGTGGAGTTGGGAGGCACTGTTTCAGCGATTGATTGACAAAACGGCTGTACATGTCCTTTAAATCCACAAGGGCAAATTTAGTTAAACATTAGCACTTGCCCTGTTGCTGCTCGTAGCGTGCCCGCTCGCTCTCCTCCGTAGCTTCCATGTCACCGTGTGCGGAGCGCTTGTGTGTGGCCAGAGTGGACGGCTGCCGATACGTCTTGCTGCAGTTGCTACAGCTGTAGGGCTTGACTGGTGTGTGCACAACCTGGTGCTTATAGAGACTCGAGTACTCGGTGAAGCGCTTGCCACAGCCTGGCACCGTGCACACATAGGGTTTCTCGCCTGCGGATTTCACAAATGGCTCAATTACGTTTCGCTGTACTCACCATCAGGGCATAGTTACACAACAGCGTAGGTATGTTGACAAAATTTGTTTAAAGTGCACACACACAACCTTGCCTGTGTGAATGCGGACGTGGTTTTTGTAGTTAGTGGCACTGGAGAAGCCCCTGCCACAGCCTGGCTCTGGGCAGAGGTATGGCCGCTCTCCTGTGTGCGTTCGAATGTGAACCTTGCGAATATTCGATGTTGTGAAGGATCTCCCACAGCCTTCAAACGGACATTTGAATGGCTTTTCACCTGCAGAAAAAAGCGATTTTACTTGACACGTGTTAGAATATCAGTCACAATGAAATATTTCACCAATGTGACTTTTAAAGAAACTTTCTCAAATAATTATTAACATACCTGTGTGAGTACGGATATGCTTCTGAAGATCCCCCGAGGTTTTAAATCCTTTCCGACACGTCTCGTCTGGACACAGGTAGGGCTTCTCTCCCGTGTGTGTTCGCAAGTGGCTTTTTAAACCATACCCTGCAAAGTTTTCAAACAAGCGCTCCATATAACCCTCGTTGTAAAACTCCAGTTTGCTATGCCAAAAGTGGTTTGAGAACGTTAATCTTTAGACGGTACCTGTCGAGAAGGCCTTCCCACAGCATGGCTGGTTGCAGCGATATGGTCGATCGCCAGTGTGAGCCCTCTCATGTACCTACCAATGACAAAAATCAATATTTACAATAAGTTGTTTTTAACATTCCTATTATTTTGTTTCTCTTTTGGCGAGTATATTATTGGAAAATTACAAATGCAAAACTCCAGCACGTTAATCACAGCTTTGAGAACACAAGTTAAACACAAGATTTTCATCATGCCAGTTAAAGGGATAAAAAGCAAATTCTCCCTGGACCTTCAAATGGTGTGCAGTCGTGTAGAGCCTTCCACAACCTTCGTAACGGCAGTGGAATGATTTTTCACCCGATGGCTGTCCTGAACTGCTGGCTCTGTTCATACTCTGGCAAAAGTGTTGAAAAATCTATAGTTAACAATACAGTCAGGTGATGGCCACACATTCATGTATGCTTCTTGCACACTACCAAGTTCGTTTTGTTTCACCTCCATATACTGTGTGCAGACAAAATAGCTACATAAGGATTTATTTAAAGAAACCCAATTACCTTTTTGATTTTGATGTCTGACATCAAGCCCTCTGAACTATTACCATCATTCTCCCCTGTTACCTGAAGCATACAGAAAGAGGATTGTGATGAAATAACCAATTTAATGAGCAGCACAACACAGGAGAGTGGGATACAGTACAGTATGCAATGCTGAAATTACCATTCACAATTATCCAATTGCACACACTGTGAACAATAAGAGTTGGGAAACTTAGGGCTCCAGGCAAATACTTTCACTTTATGGCCCTGCCTCACATGAGCACACTGGGAAACAATAAACTAGCTTGGCAAGTTTGACAAACCAAGATGCGGTTTCAAGTCAAGTTCAGTGTTATTAAAGTATATAATGTAAAAAAACAAATTACATCTATAAAAAAAAAACTTTTGAAATAGGAATAAACATAAATCATAACCCGGCATAGAATATCAGTGACACCGATTGTTAATCGATAATTGTTTTACTGCAAATATTGAAATGGCACATTAGAAGACTCACAACAGACGCGTACTGCTCAAGAACGCTAATGGCCTCGACGTCTGTTGTGTCAGGTCCCTCCGCATCCTCGGAACCCTCGACCCGGATGGCCCCATCAGGGCCTGGGTGGTGGATGTACGCCGTGGTCCCATCCTCCAACTGCACGGCCTGTACCAGGCTTTGGTCGTAGCCCTCTGCATGTGAAAATAACACAAGTTTTAGCACGAGCCTAAACACATGACGGCATGTTTGTGTACATTTCACATGTTTAACATAGGTTAGAGACCTTTGATTGTGTAGTAGATGAATGCTGTTGTTCCATCTTCCAGCTGCACTGCCTGCCCATCTTCAAATCGCATGCTTTCTGAAAATATAACAATTCAAACATCTTTTCTGGTTTTATGGGAAAACAATACACATCAAGAATCTCTACATTGTGCATGCATTAAACCAATGTATGCCAACTCTTGTGATAGACATCTCTTACGGAAGTACCTTCATTTCCTTGGGACATGTCCCCAGAGCTCACTGGGAAGTTGTCAGTGGCATCAATTTCTTGGTTAGACTGGGCTATGAGCAAGCCTGCCAGAACACAATATCAGGTGTATGGCAGTAGAACATAAACAAATTGGCAGGTAACTAATGCAAGCCTTGTAGCATCAGTAGGCAAATTTGTTTACTTTTCAAATGCTCACCGAACCAAAATAGGCATTGCACAGAACCAACATCAAGTGTGGAAAATATAAATTAAATCTGCCATAAATCCACTGCGTACTTTCATTTTGAAACACTTTGAACAAACAAAAAAGCTCTCGAGCAGTCATCAATTGTCACGTGTTAATTGTGTTAATATTTGTAATTTTAATAAAATATTTAAAGTACACTTTACCTATCACTTCCTGGTCGCTTGTTGCAATATCCGAGGCACTCAATCGCTTGTGCCCATCATTTGCGTCTTGTAGTGTGCTGCTGGGATCCATTGTGCCAGGTTTTATTCGCTGTTACCACAATGTGGCATGAACAACAAATCACGATTACACTGGTGGCTGAACAGATTTAAAAAAACATTGTACCAAATACTCATTGCTTTGCATGCGTATGATGACTATGTACTAGTTTACTTTAATTACTTCTGAGCTTGTGACCTTTGTTTTGTACTTTGTTATAAATTTGCATTAATATACAACTGTTTTAGTGCAGCTCGCTTTAAAAAAACATTACCATTAACATGCATAACTTGTGCTAACACAGGGTGATCCATATATAGACATGGTACTGCTTTGACCCGATTACTTTATCTCTAAAAGCGATTTAATATTGTGAAAGTAATGGCTCCATATCTTAGAGGAATGTTAAACGATTAGAAATGTGTACCGAAATTGGTGGAAGCCATGTCATAAAATGCTTTATAATTACTCATTATTTTAGTGGGGTGTCTAAAAATGTATCAGGCTATAGTTTCTTGCAGTCATAAACCTGCACATGGGACTTGATGACGTTTATAAAACGGCAATTAACGCAAGTTTCACTTGAAACAAAGCAATGTGTGGAGTCACTTAGGTTGATTTTCCTTACACAATACTTTATTTTTTAAAAATCGTGACATGGAGTATACCTTTAACCCAGACTTGTATTTAAGAGCTTGTCTCTTGGATTTTTCCTCACTTGAGACAGTAAATCTAGCTGTGACGGTCCCACCTGATGATGGAGACTTGTGTTGCCTCCGAAACGTCGTGATTTATTATTTTATCTCTATTATTATTTATATTATTTTTTATTTTTACCTACGTGACTTTACCGAAAAAACATAAGAGTATGAAATCCTTGCAGTCACGAAAGCTTCAAATCTAGAAAGATGTAACAATGCTATGTGCAGAAGTCACATCGTAAACAATTACAATAAACAAAAACATACCATGCCTACAAAACATTCTTAAAGACTGCAGACTATTTGTGCGCGCCCGATCTTATCAGATGTCAGAAGCTAAGTATATTTAAACCTGGACAATTAATTATTGAATGCTCCAACACCATGAAATGTGTTACTATTGCAGGCTACCAGCAGCAGAGGGCAGTGCAATAATTTTTTTACTGCCGTACTGTAATACTTTATGCTCCAAACGGTGGATTGATAAATTGAACGCGTAGGCTTTCACAACCAATATCCATTATATATATAGAGGGGGGGGGGGCGGTGGGTTAGATCACAGAAATATAAATGTGTCGTCAAACCCGCCACCACCCAACACGGACAATTAGTAAGGTTTGTCCAGTAAACAGAACATGCCAATTCGTTACTAGTACAGCAACACCGGTGTGGGTTGGAGAGCAAATCCACATTTATAATCTGAATACGACGTTTCGCCAGTAATTACAACTAGCATCATCAGACGGACAGCAAAATAAACCCATATGAATGGATTGATCAGTTTAACAACTAGGCTTTCGTGACCAATATCCATAATGCAGGGTTTTTTTGGGGTTAGATCACGTAAATGTGTTGTTAAACCCGCCACTACTCGACAGCCAATTAGTAAAGTTTGTCGAGTAAACTAAACGTACTTAGATTGTAAATGTTGTGGATTTACTCTCCAACACACCGGTGTGCTGTACTAGGAACGAATTGGCAAGTTTTGTTTACGTGACAACCCTTACTCAATTTTGATTTAAAGCTTTCGTGACTGCAGGGATTCATATTCTTGGTTCTTTCGGTAAAGTCACGAAGAAGGGAAATAATAAAATAATATAAATATAAAACAATAAAATGCTCACGACGTTTCGACTGCAACACAAGCAATCATCATCAGGTGTGAAATCCACAGCAATATTTTTTGTTAGTTTATATTTGTATTATTTTATTATTTCCCTTCTACGTGACTTTACCGAAAGAACCACGAATATGAAACCTTACTGTGTCGGGTGGTGACGGGTTTAACGACACATTTATACTTACTCGATCTAACCCCCCACAACAAAGGCCTCTATTATGGAGTGAATTGATCAAGGGTAGTAATTATTATTCTCTAACGTCTTACGATCGGCTTCTTCACCCACATTGATCGACGTCGATGAAGTATGCTCAAAACGACCCCTGTGACCTACGTGGCATTGGGGGGGCTGGGGGAGACCCCCTCTTATTCAGCAGCTAATTAACCACCGCGTGTACACATTTACAACAACGCGAGTTGCTGTGGTGGTGGTGTAAAACACGACTTGTGCTCAAATCAAAGACACGCATTGACACGAATCACGATGCAACCCGCAGCAAACGCTGTGGATGTGCAATCGTCAATCCTCAACGTGCTCCAACGCAGCATTAATAATGTGCGCCTGCCTTGCTGTTCATTACACTGCTAAACAACGCGGAAACAATTACATTTGCACCTCGCAAAGACATAATAGAACACCCCCACCACACTACAGCCACATGACACAAGCCCAAACTAGGCCGAGCCTAACCCAACGCGTTCCCACCGCTTTGAGGGCATTGCAACGAAGACAATTTAGAAGGAAAAAAACTCCCCCACCCCCACACAGCAAACGGCACCTTCATCGGATATTTAATATAAAACAATAAACAAGCAGAGACTAGTCTCCCAACGCCGACGGCCGAGCGAACAAGCCGACGAGAGACGTCAACCGGACGGGCGGCCTCCTGTGTCTCTGTGCTCGTGGTGGTGTTTGTGTGTCCAGCCGCTTGTGAGCTGGGCCGTGCTTATTTCTCTCGCCAACAACAACATAAAAGACGACGACGATCTGTCTCGTTTGCCTCCCTCCCCACCACCATCACCACCCTCACGCGTCTGCCCGTACACCCACAGCAGTAGCAGCAGCAGCAGCCGCCTAAGAACCCGGCGGCTTCGTGGCCCCCGCGCCACTTGCCGGGGGCCCACCCCACTCGGTGCCCCATGACCGCGGCCGGGCTACGAGGGCGACACGGGGTGGCCACGGGGGTGGTCAGGCACGGGGTGGTGGTCGTGGTGGTGGTGGTCGTGGTGGTGGGAGACCACCACGAAGCCCGCGAGCGCGAGAGTTTTGTGTTTTCTACCAACAATTCCGTCTCTCTTACCGCCATGCACCAGGGCAGGAAGCAGCGAGGAGGAGCCGGGCGGACCCCGCGCAGCGCTGTGCCGCGTGGGGCGGGGGGAGGGGGCGGGGGGGAGGGGCAGAGAAGAGGGGGAGGGGGGAGTAGGGGGAGGGCACGGGGAGGGGGGGTGGAGGGCACGGGGAGGGGGAGGAGGGAAAGAGTTGGAGGGAGTAGGGGGAGGGAGTAGGAGGAGGGCACGGGGAGGGATGAGGGCACGGGGAGGGGGAGGGAGTAGGGGGAGGGCACGGGGAGAGGGAGGAGGGAGTAGGAGTTGGAGGGAGTAGGGGGGTGGGCACGGGGAGGGGGAGGAGGGAAAGAGTTGGAGGGAGTAGGGGGAGGGAGTAGGGGGAGGGCACGGGGAGAGGGAGGAGGAGGAGAGGGAGGAGGGCACGGCGAGGGGGAGGAGGGAGTAGGGGGTGGGCACGGGGAGGGAGGAGGGCACGGGGAGGGAGGAGGGCACGGGGAGGGGGAGGGAGTAGGGGGAGGGCACGGGAGAGGGAGGAGGAGGAGAGGGAGGAGGGCACGGCGAGGGGGAGGAGGGAGTAGGGGGTGGGCACGGGGAGGGAGGAGGGCACGGGGAGGGAGGAGGGCACGGGGAGGGGGAGGGAGTAGGGGGAGGGCACGGGGAGAGGGAGGAGGAGGAGAGGGAGGAGGGCACGGCGAGGGGGAGGAGGGAGTAGGGGGTGGGCACGGGGAGGGAGGAGGGCACGGGGAGGGAGGAGGGCACGGGGAGGGGGAGGGAGTAGGGGGAGGGCACGGGGAGAGGGAGGAGGAGGAGAGGGAGGAGGGCACGGCGAGGGGGAGGAGGGAGTAGGGGGTGGGCACGGGGAGGGAGGAGGGCACGGGGAGGGAGGAGGGCACGGGGAGGAGGGAGGGAGGAGGGCACGGGGAGGGATGAGGGAGTAGGAGTTGGAGGGAGTAGGGGGAGGGCACGGGGAGGGAGGAGGGCACGGGGAGGGGGAGGAGGGAGTAGGAGTTGGAGGGAGGGAGGAGGGCACGGGGAGAGGGAGGAGGGCACGGGGAGAGGGAGGAGGGCACGGGGAGGGGGAAGAGAGAGGGGGGAGGGAGTAGGAGGAGGTCGCGGGGAGGAGGGCACGGGGAGAGGGAGGAGGGCACGGGGAGGGCACGGGGAGGGGGCGGGCAAGGGGAGGGGGAGGAAGGAGGGAGGAGGGCACGGGGAGAGGGAGGAGGGCACGGGGAGGGGGAAGAGAGAGGGGGGAGGGAGTAGGAGGAGGTCGCGGGGAGGAGGGAGGGAGGAGGGCACGGGGAGAGGGAGGAGGGCACGGGGAGGGGGTGGGCAAGGGGAGGGGGAGGAGGGAGGGAGTAGGAGGAGAGGGAGGAGGGAGGGAGGAGGAGGGCACGTGGAGGAGGAGGGCACGTGGCGGCCGCTCCACCCACCCCACAGAGGGCGGCACCCCCCCGCTGCTGTTGTCACGGTGTGGCAGCTGCAAGTTCCGGGGCAATGTGGACAACGTGAATTTACTTTTCTCTTCATCATCACGCGCCCTGGTCGTCTCCTCCTCGTCTCACCCCCACCACGCCTCCTCATCATCATTTAGATTATTTTGCTAATATAAATTTCCGCCACTTTGTTGAGCTACCATTTGTGGCCAGGACGCTTCTGAACAATGAGCTCATACCTCAGTGCGCTTTGCCTGGTAAGAAAAATATGAGAATAGGTTTTCCTCTTTTTTATGGCAACAAAACAGGTGTTAAGATGTTAAAATACCAAACTGAAACCTTTTACAAGGAATCATGTCTGCATTAATCACAAGTATTGTGGTTAATGCAGACATAAATTTGATTGCTTCCAAAGATTGCTTTTTTTCTGTGTGCCTATGTGTGTCTCTGTGTGAGTCTCTCTCTGCTTGTGTCTGTGTCTCCGTGTTTATGTTTTGTCTCTTTCTCAAATTTAGCAATCTTTGGAAGAACGTAATCAACCAGGTGAGGTGCTGACTGTTGTATTGTCCGACTCTCTGTGTTGTATTTCATTATATTTCCAAGTTTACGAGGTTTGTTTTCTCATTAATTTGTACCTGATGGTGGTTGCTTGTGTTGCAATCGAAACGTCGTATTATATTATTATTTCATTTTTTCTACGTGACTTTAACGAAAGAACCAAAGAGTAATTCCTGCAGTCACGAAAGATTCGAATCTAAACACCTGTTTTGTTGCCAGAAAAAAGGGCATAACCTATTCTCATATTTTGGTACTGGCAAAGGAGGCCCCATGATCAAGAAAACATAGGTTTAGATTTATTTGTATAAATATTTAAGTGATTTTTTACCTTTCCTATACTTTTCACTCCTATCTTATTTTTGTATTGTTGTAACGTTCTGACCCGCCCTGACTGAATATTTGTGAAAAATAGCTTCATAGCTCATCGGATTCCTCCAGTATAAATCAATTACTGGTAGGAACCTCCTGGTTCCACCAGCCCACAGGGGATTATTGTGTCCGTCCATCGTGCTTCCAAAAATGGGAGGGGTGGGGCTGGGTGGAGAGGGGAGGGTGGGGAGGGGCTGGATGGGGTGGAGCTGGGTGGGGAGGGGCTGGTCACCCCGTGGTGCCCTTATAAAACTCAACGTTTAACCTACTCACGCCGGCTTGTGCCCGCCCTCACCGTCGGCCATATTTGCGGAATACACCACGCCGCCGTTGACCCTGGCCATTGACCGAGCAACCCAACATTCCTACCAGCTTCCTCCGCAGGAATGTGTTCTAATTCAAATCATCCCCTCCTCTGTTAAAGACCAGATTGAATATATAATTGAGACCAGAAGTTTCTGTGCACGTGCGACAGTGTAACAACATCAGCTGTTGTTGCACTGTGGGACTCTTGCCACTGCCGGCAGCCAATTGCCAGTATTCGCCACGGTTCCTTACGTGCTGATCATTCCATTCAACGTTAACGCCTCGTGGTCACGGTCCAGTTCGTGTATTCTTAAAATATATAATCGGCGACGTTTCGGGCAATGGACCCTTCTTCATAGCACATACATCGAGAGGCTAAACCCGAATATTTGCCAGCGCAGCATCCACCAAGTTATTGATTTCAATTCAGGCGCGAGATTCACTTAAATCCCATGCCGTCAGATCGAACGGCTTGGAAGAGCGCAAACGGCCGCGGTCCCTTAAAGTGTCTCCATGCCAACGGTGATCGATTGTGACGTCACCACCCGAATGGTTTCTCTGCAATCGTGGGGCCACCGCGCGGGTAAACTCGGTCGAGGTAAAAACTAATAAACGATTTCAATTTTCACCAGGTAAGGACCCACAGAGTCATTTCGCTCTCATTTAGAAGCGACCTGGCCACAAGTGATTGCTCAACAAAGTGGCTCGTCGACGCATGGAGGATTTATAGCAGCCAAACTACTCTTTAAACGCGTGATGTAGATTCTAAATGTGGAGGGGAAAATCTGGCGAACACGAGGAGCGACAGAACACGCCAACTCTAAATATATAGCAAGCGTCCTGGGTCAGGATCGAACCCACGACCTGTATACCACGCGAGGTATTAACATCGTGCCCCCCGTGGCTGCTCCCATGGCAAAGGTCTCGCCCACCTTCACCACCCCACCCCCCATGTCCAGTGTCACGGTGCGATGCGAGTTTGAAGCTTCGTTAACAAGGACGAAACAAGCAAAACCAAAAAGACTTTCAAAGTTATGGCGTGACGGGATTGCCAAAGTGGCGCGTATGATTTTAAAGGTGGGTTTTGTTTTGTCAGTCGAATGGATTGGGATTTTAAATGTTTTCTTTAATATGTAAGAGACTTCGTGTGCTATATATGGCGGTTCCGGCTCGTGCTGAGATCCAGATCTTCAGTAGACGCGTCTCCTTTCACGCGTCTGACTTTACCGAAAAAACATAAGAATATGAATCCTTGCAGTCACGAATGCTTCAAATCTAGAATGGATAAAGCTGTTTAGGGCCACCCTCAGGACTCCCATCCGAAAAGGCCTTGTGCATCCATCAAACACACTCTTGATACTTGTAGGAACCACCTGGTTCTACCAGCCCACAGGGGATTGTGTCCGTCCGTCGTGCATCCAAAAATGGGAGGCGTGGGGCTGGGTGAGGGTGGGGCTGGGTGGGGAAGGGCTGGTCACCCCGTGGTGCTCCTATAAAACGTTTAACCTACTCACGCCTGCTTGTACCCACCCTCAGTCAGCCATATTGGCAGAATACACCACGCCGCCATTGAACCTGGCCATTGACCGAGCAACCCAACGTTCCTACCAGCTCCTTCCACAGGAATGTACTTGCATCACAAGTGTGAACCCTGCTACGGTAATCAGTTTCAAAGACAATGCATATATTATCAGAGCATGCTTGGATGTTTCGCCACAAAAATGTGTGGCTTAATGCATGTCTTGGTGTTTGAACATCGTAATACCTGTTTTATTTCCAGGAATGGTAAAGCCTATTGCGTCAATGGGGGGGGTTGCTTGATCATTCTTCGCCAAGCTGGTCAGGTGTGGGTCGTGAAGACCCAGGGTCAACATCAGATATCACTCGTGACCGATGTCGCAAGTAATATCAACTGGTTGGGTTGACAGTGGAGTTGGGCAAACAGTCACCAACTCGGCCGCGCAATGGGGTCTTAGCTCGCTAAAAGAGAATCTGTACACCTGACGAAATGGGAAGGAATTGCACTAAAAGCTCAAGTACACAAATTTGCACAAACCAGGCAAATGGTTGAGACACGAATGAGTGTACATGGGCATAGCAAATACATGCACGTGTAATAATATTCCATGTGGGTTTGCTGTATTTTACAATTGCGGTTTAGAACAGGAAAATGGCATTTCGATGAAAACATTAGCTATATGCATAGTACATGGACATTAGTTTGCCGACTAGGAATTGCTTTCACGTGAACAAATCGTCAGAAAATCTTGATTTGATATTCTTGGAAACGTCCCTCTTATTTCCCTTGCAAAAAATAAAAATGACTGACATAGGAGGCGACAACTTTTATTTTCACACCACTGCAGTCGTCACTGACGATTCAGTCAAATTGTGGGTTATGTACAGTTACCCCCCGTTCGACAGCAGTTAGGGGGATGTATTATTTAAAAAAACGACTG